CTAGTCGATAGGTACCATCAGGAACATGTTCTCATGTATTTACAACTAGTTTTACTGAGGAGTAGATTGCTCCCGATATTTTTGGTGTAGAAATCTAACTTAAATACTAATATTTGACCCTAACTTTTTCATTATTACATTTATGTTTTTCAGTCAAAGAACTCAAACATGATTATGTAACATGACTGACCTAGATTGTATATGCATATTAATTACCTAAAAAATTTAGTTGAAAACAAAGCTTCTTTATCTAAATAAGTTTTACGTTCATCGATAAATAACTTGATCCTGAAGTAAAAATGAGTTTAGAGTTTAAATAGAAAGGGTACTTACTTACTAGATATTTTTATGTTATTCTTCAAATTTTATGTTTACCAATCATAAATCCATAAGATTTTATCATTCTCCTGGTAGTTCTATTCATTAATTTGCCTAGATAAATCTTGCTAGTTATGTCGATTTGAAATCCAATCGAAAATTAAATGACTGGATAATAAACACTAAACTGAATCTATTCACGAAATGATACTGTATCCAAAACTACTAGCTTCGAAATGAAGATGACAATCGAAATATCACTGAGATTTCCTGGTTAAAAAACGACAACTCAAAACTGCTTCTGTGTAAAAGTAAATATGGATGACTTTTTAGAAATTATCTAGAAAATCGCACGAAACAATAAATGACTAAACCTACCAACTTAATAAGTATAAAGTTGTAATACTTAGCTTTCATAAACTTTCTTCAGTTAAGGCTAGTTATCCATAAGAAAATTAATGAAACTCAATATATGTAACTCTGCTTATTTGATTATAACAAAATTAGCCACTTGATACATTAATGTATAATGTGCAGCTTTTATTGTCATTTAATGATATTACGAGTAATTTATTTCACCTAGAAAAGCAAAAGATGTAAACCATTGTGTTGTTATCGTCACTGACATTTATCAAGAAACTTTTGTTAGTGTTCCAGTAAACATTTAAAGTGAATTGGAATTTACCACATTCGAAACCAAGATACATTTTAATATTATCGTACTTGATAAATGAATCTAGAATTCAAAGTTCATACTTACTTCTATGAATATCTTAACACTTGTTTTGTTAGAATGATAGATAAATTTATATGACAGCTGAATATATATTTAACACAGATGGCTATTCAAGTTATTTGTAGATGTTAGTATGTGTTGAATTTTGCACCACTTAATTATTGATTAGCCCAAACAGTTTTACGCTTTAAAACCCCCCAGTAAGTGAACACTGTATACAGTTACTTGGAACAACTTATATACCAGGTAATATCAGTTCAAATCGATTACGTTCAACTTGATTATCATTTTCGAATCAAAGATGTGATTTAAATCAGTAGGCTGGTAATAGTTCGAAAATAATGGCGAAATAATTCAAGACTCAATGAATCCAATCATGTGTTCTTTCTATTTGCTAATAAATATGTTCTACCTATCTCTTACTCATTTACTTTTTTGCAGATTTGCATTACACTACTTTTTACTATCAAGTAGTATAAGATATTTTGTGAATTATTCCATTTCTCATTCATTTCTGAATACTTATTTTCCCAATGTGTTTAACATAAGGTTATCCCACCAATTAATGTTTGAGAATTTATTACTCTTTATTGTGAGCACCAGATAAGTATAGCAGTTTTATGATAAACTCTCTCACAACAGCCTAAATAAATGAATATCAGAAGAGATCCTCAACAGATATAATCGAACTGTAAACTATCCTCGATAGAAAAATTAAGGATTGAAAGGAAGATAAATAGATGATATAATAGACTAGAATAACAGTTAGAAAATTTAAACAATCGATCGGTGATTACTTTCCATAGTAAAGCATTAAAAGTCATATTTGAGTAGTACTGATGGCAAATGCTGAGGAAATTAAAGAAACGAGGTAGATATGCAGTTGAAAATGTCACAAAATACATGAAATTTCCGGAATTTCGAACGTTACGCAGTTGGGAGTAATCTGAGTACGATATCGGCTGGCGGTCTCCAGGAAATCAGGTCCCTAATATTGAGATGGATTTGGAAGTGGTGTATAGAAATGCAAAGAATATGTAAAAGTTGTTAATCATAGTTCTAGTAAATACCAGGTATAACCATAATTTATTAACAAATCCTGTAATTTTGTGTCGCGCACATTCGATTGTCCCCATCCGTGTTCTGTTCACTACAAAACTACTTAGGTTAAAATGAATGAAAATCTGTCACTCAGAACATGAATTTCCTGTTTGAAAGCATCACTACCAGGAGAGTTAACATTCAACAGCTCAGAATGTAGAAGAATGAGTCGGAGACTATTAGCTTTATATAAACATCGAGATTATATCACTTCGATTAAGTGAATGAGTTAGCCAAATGAAACGCACTTAATCTGGATCATTTACGCACGAATATGTTAAATAATTTCTTGAGAACAATTCTAACAAATAAACGAAATGTATCAAAAGTTTGGTATTCAATGACTTCTTGACTTTTACTTTGTAGTGTTTGTTCCCATTTAGTTGTACAGCTCAAAAACTAAAATTTCTATTTACGAATGTTTTACTACAGAACCTGACAGAAACACTGAACTAAATGATTCCTTAAAGAATTGACGATTTCGGTTGATTGTATATACCCATTTAAAATATACGTGTATTACAAAAAAAGATGTATGAATATGAGAATTCTCAGTTCATATTGTATACTAAACACAAAGTGTAATTCAGTAAAATGATAAGACTAAACATTTCATAATCATTTAACAGATATGGTACTTTCATATTGATCCATTCTTCTTATCACGTTATGTCTGTTAATTAAGACAGACAAAAAATATAAGTAAAAATGTAAACTTTGTTATAATAAAAATAAGAAAATCCATTTGTAAGCAGAAACGAAAGAAAATATTAGAAACAATTAAAATCTTTTGAATGAATGTGTACGTATTTGTTGTCATGACATAGTGCTGAAATAAGCTCTTTAAACAGATATCAATAAAAATTGAGAGAGATTACATCACCAAATAAAAAGGCTGGATGTATACATGAGAATAACCAGAAAATTAATATATTTGTAAAAGTAAGCGAAATACGCAAGTACATTTACTACGTATCTTTATCATTAGGTCAAATGGGAAACTAAAGAAAACAGAAAAGGAAACAAAAATCTGTGTTGTTCCGAACGAAAACAACCTGAATTGGGATTGAAAGAATAGGAAGATAAAATTAGTTCTAAATGGTCTGATGGTATCGTGTTCGCCACAAGAACTCAAGGTCTGATTTCAACTTTATGTGGAACCACGATTTCTCACTATTGATGAGCCTCGAATAAGGGTGAAACACGTATCCAATGACCAATATTCCTCAATAGTCTCCTCACTCCGATCTAATTCCTCAATTGAAACTATCTTCAAACAACACTAATAATAGTAATGATCACTCTATTTTGATCATGTATTTGCTTTACACTTGAGAAACGGAAGACAGCGGGGCTGCGGAAACCGAAACGAATGCCAGAAATCTACAAATCTCGATTCCTAATGTGTCCAGATATTAATCGAACCATTGGGAGTACAATCAAGCAGAGTGATTAAGAGAACAGTTCTTAAGAATAAACTAATCAGTAGAAATTAAAAAGGTTCTAATGAGTAGTATTGTGTGTGTGAATAATGACCGGGGTAACGGACGAGAGACGATTAGCATAACAGATTGGCTCAATGCATTTAAATCAAAGAATAAACATATAGGGTAATAAGTTCTCTGCAACCAACCAGTTTCCCTCATCATAATGTTTGAGTCATAGAATTATACAGATATAATTCAAACTACTTAATAATCAGCTAGTAATATTACACAAATACACAAATTCAGTAAACAATGGAAAAATCTAGCAATAGACAAAATTAGTAATGAGTGTTATCACAAGAGTCACGAATCTGTTCTGTTCTCCTTGGGTCTTCCAAGTCTTTCAACACATATATCTGACTACTGGGAAAAACTATTTTCAAAATGTGTGGACTAAAAAAATGAACAGGCTTATGAACTTCATTTTGATGTAGCGAGCTTTTTATATTTGAAATAGTTGGTATTCATAACATTTAACGACAGTGAAAATGATAAACAAACCAGCCAACTGTGAACAATACGAAGAACAATCAAACGAAATCTCAGTGATATAATCAGTGAATCGTACAGTTCAGGGATAGAAGTCACCTGGGAAAACAAAGATCATAAACTGCTTACCACATCTGAACATTTTAGTACGAGTCTATAAATGAAGAACCATGAATGGCATCCAAAAACTCATGTTAATTAGGAAACTCAAACAGAAACAAAACAAATAACTTTGTATGAATTTGGATGAAGTAAAACTGATAAAACATATAGCATCCTAAGTTTATCTGTAGATGAGCATATATATTAAGTTAAATATTTCCTAACTTCTTACAAGACAGAATCCATCTTCGGTAACAGGAAACAGTCTGACATTCTCAGTTTGTTTCACACTTCTGTTAATAAGTGTCTAAAAAAGAATTCTTCCAATTCCAATTGTATCCTATTTAAAAGAAATAGGCCAAAGATTTTAAGTAAACTTTTAACTAATTATGAAAATATGCGAACCTTTGTTGGACAGTCAGTTGGACTACTTTTTCAACTCCTTACCTTTATTTTACCATTTTAATGAAATGTCATTGAATAAACGAGATACATGGTTTAAGACAATGGTGTGTTTTTTTTCAATTTTTTATAACTATAGACAACACAGACGTACTGAGACCTTCAAAAATATGTTCATTATAATGAGTTTAATTAAAAAACAGTTGAGAGTATGAGATGTGATTTTTTTATCTTCTCATATCAACTAAAGAATGTCCAAATAGAATTGAACAAGCAAAAATCCTATAAATGTGAGCAATCAAAAGAAAAGTCTTACTATCTAATTACATAATTATTCAAACTGACTGAACGAGAAGAAGTAATAAATGAATACAACTGTCGAATATCCAAGCAAACTATTTGATGAAACTGATGACGAAGAGGATAATGATACCGAGACAAGTAATACTGATGCGACTGAATACAATAATATGAAAAGACTAAATAAGAAGGAAATCACTTATCCGCTCATTTCGACTAGACATCATGGTGAGTTTGTATGTTGATGCGATTTGATGAGATATTCAATCATCCCCTTCATAAATTTACCGTACTTTTATGAACCAGTCTTCTGCTTTGATCATAATAATAGATGTTGTTTGTCAATGAGTTGAATGGTTACATATTAAAATTGATTTTGCATGGTAAGCCAGTCTTTTGTCTTCGTATCTCGTCTCATGCACACACGTTGTGTTAAGCAGAAGGTGATCATCACTTCTCGTCTTGACGTTAAATATATCGTGATTAACACTAAGTGTGGGGTATCTGAGCATCTGTTTGAATAAAACACCATTATATCAGATAGTACCACGAGAAATTCGGCGTAATGATGATGTTGATAAAGATGCTCGTAATCAAATTATTTAAAAATAACACAGACCATAGACTGAACGTAGATTTTTTAGGTTTTGTATGCCACATTTTGGATAACACAAATGCTGTATTAACAACTAACCAAAATATTACATCTTTGACTAAAACTTTTTTGCTCATTGCAGAACACTTGACTAGTATCTACAAAGTGGATTCTCAACTGGATTTTGGTCTACAAGTAATCGGAGCTGGACTAATGCGTTCCGGAACAACCAGTCTTAAATTCGCTTTGGAGTACTTATATAAGAAACAATGCTATCATATGAGAGAATTAGTACTTAATATTCGTGAACCACATATCAAATTATGGTTGTGGGTAATAAAACAAGATAGAGAGAAGAAAGAAATACCTAAGCAGTTTTGGTCATATATCTACAATGATTTTGTGGCTGCAGTTGATTATCCAACTGCCGGGTTTTATAAGCACTTGTCAAAGATTTATCCAAACGCAAAGGTAAGTTGTTTATGACATATGTAATCTTGATTGTTTCGAATTCAATCAGTATAAAATTAGTTACTTCTTCTGAGTATATTTATTTAGTCAGTATTATACGGACTTGAGGAGCGCATTGACGAATTTTGATATATGAATATCTGTACAAGAGATAAAAGGATTTTTCATGATAGCATAGAAAAAACATCAATCTTTTCGGGGTATAAATCTTTCCCTAATCACCGATATGTTTTGCTTGGTCGATCGTTCAATTAACAAATGGTTGCATTTTGCAGGATCATTAGGCTCTGTTAGTCAATTCTCGGGAACATACTCAAATGTAAATTAAATTTAGTTTGTAATTCGTCTAAATAGTCGATTTCAGTCCTATTACAAATAAGAGAATAACCATATGTATGTTTGTTCAATCACTTACTACAGTCTACTGTTATCTTGGTTTCTTATGATTGATATTTTAAAATTCTTAGTTTCTTCACGAGCGATATTTATATTGAAGGTGATAATTCTAGTACTGAACTTTCTGTTTATTCATCACTTTCTATTACAAGGATATTATAGTATTTGCGATTTACGATTTAGGTTGGTTAGTTTAGTAGTATGACTCTAGTCGGTTGAAAACAGGCCTATTGGAATAAATTCATTTGCATCATTTAAAGTTAGCATTGCACGTATGCACACATATTAGACCTTCAGCCTACTATTGTTGTTGACGCTATTGTGGTTGTTGATGTTGCTGCTGAAGAAGCATTGCTAATCAGTTACAATCAAAGCAATAATAATGACACTTTGAAAATCAGTGGTTAAGTTTACTCATCTAATAGACCGTCGAACCATACTCTTGTGACAAGGTTTGAGGTAGTTCACCAACAATGGAATACACCATTTCAGTAGTATTAATGTACCTCCGTTGCACGTCTACGACCTTATAACCATTTCATCCGACCACAATCACAATGTTTGATGTCGTTCCTCATAAATGTAGAATGAATAGACAATAACGTTGCAAATAATTTTTGGTAATCAACGTTTATTCCAGCCATCTATGCCATCATCATCAGCATTCACAATATCTAAACAAAATTGATCTATAAATTTAAATCTGTCCGTCTATTTTTTCAATCACTTGTTAGATTATTTTAACTATTCGTGATCCAGATGATTGGGTTAAAAGCTGTCGCGCAACTACATTGTCAGAGACATTGTATACAAAACCATCACTTGGAAACCGCATTATTCATAAACTAACTGGTTTGCAGAGTTTGTATAAGTTGCATTATCGAATGTTTCAACAGACGTTAGGAAGATGTTTTTACAAAAGGACCGATGAACAGTTGAAAAATATCTATACTAATTGGAATGAGGAGGTTATTAAAAGTATTCCTTCTGATCGTCTATTAGTATTTGACTCAAGCCAAGGTTGGAAACCATTGTGTGAATTCCTAGGCTTTCCTATTCCACCATCGGATATACCATATCCACATTTAAACGAAAGAAGCATAATGATCCAGGCAATTGACAGGCTACAACTTCCTGGTCGATGGATTGACCGCTTTCTGTGCATATGTCGATATTTACTAATACCAATGTTCACTGGCATTATATACTTGCGTTATAGTGAGGCAATTTATGAGACGGTGTTGTCGATGATCCAACTGCATCGTACACGTTTTTTCCCAAACAGTTGACCAATAAACCACCCTCGTAACTATTTCACAATTATCAATATTCCGCCGTGTTATTTGCATGTATTCGTTTAGATTTGGTTCGATTGCATTCTGTGACTGTTGATATGCTATGTAATCATATTAGAAAACAAAATATATTGAATACTTAACTATGTTATGATTAATACATTCGAAGTAATCGGTTGTGATGTTCGTTCACCTGTAAAAGGGTTGATTGCCGTTATACTTCGTTTTAATTGTATTTATCCGCACCAACTAACAGAACATCGAGATTTCAACGGTTGACTTCAATCGATAAAGCTCTGATTACTGGCAATCACTAGATACTTTATTATGCTTCCGATCTACTCAAGGTCAATATACACGCTGATTTACGTTTGGTCTATAGTTCAACCATTGTTTAATTTACAGAGAACGTGACAACAGAGAGGGAACCTGATGGTATTTTCCATGTTCATTTATTTATCTACCAACATAACGCACATCAGCTGGGACTTGTTACCAATTCCCAATTTATCTTCTAAACAATTCATAGTTTAGAATATAGATTGTCAAGTTGATTTGTAAGACATTTTGGTATGAAATAGGATTAGACAGCTAACAAGAATTTATAAGTAGAATTTCTTCAGATCATCCTTTCAGGTTGATAAGTCTGTAATGTTCATTGAGGACTCACCCGAAAGTACTCTGCTATATTGAGATCCAATTGGTTCACACCTCGTAGATTGGAGGGAAATCTAATAATTTCTTACTTAGACGACAAAGACGATAGAAGCAGTAGCTTTATCTGCATGTACACACACACCTGCACCATCATGGACAAGTGGTGCACCCAAGGATTGACACGTAGCTAACTAGTTGATTTGGTCGGAAATATGTTCCATTACTCGTCAATGCGCTCCTCAAGTCCGTATAATACTGACTAAATAAATATACTCAGAAGAAGTAACTAATTTTATACTGATTGAATTCGAAACAATCAAGATTACATATGTCATAAACAACTTACCTTTGCGTTTGGATAAATCTTTGACAAGTGCTTATAAAACCCGGCAGTTGGATAATCAACTGCAGCCACAAAATCATTGTAGATATATGACCAAAACTGCTTAGGTATTTCTTTCTTCTCTCTATCTTGTTTTATTACCCACAACCATAATTTGATATGTGGTTCACGAATATTAAGTACTAATTCTCTCATATGATAGCATTGTTTCTTATATAAGTACTCCAAAGCGAATTTAAGACTGGTTGTTCCGGAACGCATTAGTCCAGCTCCGATTACTTGTAGACCAAAATCCAGTTGAGAATCCACTTTGTAGATACTAGTCAAGTGTTCTGCAATGAGCAAAAAAGTTTTAGTCAAAGATGTAATATTTTGGTTAGTTGTTAATACAGCATTTGTGTTATCCAAAATGTGGCATACAAAACCTAAAAAATCTACGTTCAGTCTATGGTCTGTGTTATTTTTAAATAATTTGATTACGAGCATCTTTATCAACATCATCATTACGCCGAATTTCTCGTGGTACTATCTGATATAATGGTGTTTTATTCAAACAGATGCTCAGATACCCCACACTTAGTGTTAATCACGATATATTTAACGTCAAGACGAGAAGTGATGATCACCTTCTGCTTAACACAACGTGTGTGCATGAGACGAGATACGAAGACAAAAGACTGGCTTACCATGCAAAATCAATTTTAATATGTAACCATTCAACTCATTGACAAACAACATCTATTATTATGATCAAAGCAGAAGACTGGTTCATAAAAGTACGGTAAATTTATGAAGGGGATGATTGAATATCTCATCAAATCGCATCAACATACAAACTCACCATGATGTCTAGTCGAAATGAGCGGATAAGTGATTTCCTTCTTATTTAGTCTTTTCATATTATTGTATTCAGTCGCATCAGTATTACTTGTCTCGGTATCATTATCCTCTTCGTCATCAGTTTCATCAAATAGTTTGCTTGGATATTCGACAGTTGTATTCATTTATTACTTCTTCTCGTTCAGTCAGTTTGAATAATTATGTAATTAGATAGTAAGACTTTTCTTTTGATTGCTCACATTTATAGGATTTTTGCTTGTTCAATTCTATTTGGACATTCTTTAGTTGATATGAGAAGATAAAAAAATCACATCTCATACTCTCAACTGTTTTTTAATTAAACTCATTATAATGAACATATTTTTGAAGGTCTCAGTACGTCTGTGTTGTCTATAGTTATAAAAAATTGAAAAAAAACACACCATTGTCTTAAACCATGTATCTCGTTTATTCAATGACATTTCATTAAAATGGTAAAATAAAGGTAAGGAGTTGAAAAAGTAGTCCAACTGACTGTCCAACAAAGGTTCGCATATTTTCATAATTAGTTAAAAGTTTACTTAAAATCTTTGGCCTATTTCTTTTAAATAGGATACAATTGGAATTGGAAGAATTCTTTTTTAGACACTTATTAACAGAAGTGTGAAACAAACTGAGAATGTCAGACTGTTTCCTGTTACCGAAGATGGATTCTGTCTTGTAAGAAGTTAGGAAATATTTAACTTAATATATATGCTCATCTACAGATAAACTTAGGATGCTATATGTTTTATCAGTTTTACTTCATCCAAATTCATACAAAGTTATTTGTTTTGTTTCTGTTTGAGTTTCCTAATTAACATGAGTTTTTGGATGCCATTCATGGTTCTTCATTTATAGACTCGTACTAAAATGTTCAGATGTGGTAAGCAGTTTATGATCTTTGTTTTCCCAGGTGACTTCTATCCCTGAACTGTACGATTCACTGATTATATCACTGAGATTTCGTTTGATTGTTCTTCGTATTGTTCACAGTTGGCTGGTTTGTTTATCATTTTCACTGTCGTTAAATGTTATGAATACCAACTATTTCAAATATAAAAAGCTCGCTACATCAAAATGAAGTTCATAAGCCTGTTCATTTTTTTAGTCCACACATTTTGAAAATAGTTTTTCCCAGTAGTCAGATATATGTGTTGAAAGACTTGGAAGACCCAAGGAGAACAGAACAGATTCGTGACTCTTGTGATAACACTCATTACTAATTTTGTCTATTGCTAGATTTTTCCATTGTTTACTGAATTTGTGTATTTGTGTAATATTACTAGCTGATTATTAAGTAGTTTGAATTATATCTGTATAATTCTATGACTCAAACATTATGATGAGGGAAACTGGTTGGTTGCAGAGAACTTATTACCCTATATGTTTATTCTTTGATTTAAATGCATTGAGCCAATCTGTTATGCTAATCGTCTCTCGTCCGTTACCCCGGTCATTATTCACACACACAATACTACTCATTAGAACCTTTTTAATTTCTACTGATTAGTTTATTCTTAAGAACTGTTCTCTTAATCACTCTGCTTGATTGTACTCCCAATGGTTCGATTAATATCTGGACACATTAGGAATCGAGATTTGTAGATTTCTGGCATTCGTTTCGGTTTCCGCAGCCCCGCTGTCTTCCGTTTCTCAAGTGTAAAGCAAATACATGATCAAAATAGAGTGATCATTACTATTATTAGTGTTGTTTGAAGATAGTTTCAATTGAGGAATTAGATCGGAGTGAGGAGACTATTGAGGAATATTGGTCATTGGATACGTGTTTCACCCTTATTCGAGGCTCATCAATAGTGAGAAATCGTGGTTCCACATAAAGTTGAAATCAGACCTTGAGTTCTTGTGGCGAACACGATACCATCAGACCATTTAGAACTAATTTTATCTTCCTATTCTTTCAATCCCAATTCAGGTTGTTTTCGTTCGGAACAACACAGATTTTTGTTTCCTTTTCTGTTTTCTTTAGTTTCCCATTTGACCTAATGATAAAGATACGTAGTAAATGTACTTGCGTATTTCGCTTACTTTTACAAATATATTAATTTTCTGGTTATTCTCATGTATACATCCAGCCTTTTTATTTGGTGATGTAATCTCTCTCAATTTTTATTGATATCTGTTTAAAGAGCTTATTTCAGCACTATGTCATGACAACAAATACGTACACATTCATTCAAAAGATTTTAATTGTTTCTAATATTTTCTTTCGTTTCTGCTTACAAATGGATTTTCTTATTTTTATTATAACAAAGTTTACATTTTTACTTATATTTTTTGTCTGTCTTAATTAACAGACATAACGTGATAAGAAGAATGGATCAATATGAAAGTACCATATCTGTTAAATGATTATGAAATGTTTAGTCTTATCATTTTACTGAATTACACTTTGTGTTTAGTATACAATATGAACTGAGAATTCTCATATTCATACATCTTTTTTTGTAATACACGTATATTTTAAATGGGTATATACAATCAACCGAAATCGTCAATTCTTTAAGGAATCATTTAGTTCAGTGTTTCTGTCAGGTTCTGTAGTAAAACATTCGTAAATAGAAATTTTAGTTTTTGAGCTGTACAACTAAATGGGAACAAACACTACAAAGTAAAAGTCAAGAAGTCATTGAATACCAAACTTTTGATACATTTCGTTTATTTGTTAGAATTGTTCTCAAGAAATTATTTAACATATTCGTGCGTAAATGATCCAGATTAAGTGCGTTTCATTTGGCTAACTCATTCACTTAATCGAAGTGATATAATCTCGATGTTTATATAAAGCTAATAGTCTCCGACTCATTCTTCTACATTCTGAGCTGTTGAATGTTAACTCTCCTGGTAGTGATGCTTTCAAACAGGAAATTCATGTTCTGAGTGACAGATTTTCATTCATTTTAACCTAAGTAGTTTTGTAGTGAACAGAACACGGATGGGGACAATCGAATGTGCGCGACACAAAATTACAGGATTTGTTAATAATGTCTAACAGTCATAAGGTGAATGCCTAATTTGCAAAATGTCCACCAACTGTCTCATATGGACTCAGACTTCATTCTTTTGCATTTTCATACAAATTGCATTCTGTTTCCATTCTTTACTGTTCGATCCT